TTTTTTTGAGGCAAGGCCCAGTAGCCCAGCTGGCCTAGAACTCACTATGTAGACCAGGCTGGCCTTGAACTCACAGAGATCTGTCTCCCTCTGTGCTGGGATTAAAGGCAAGTGCCACCACGCCCAGCATGAAACTGAATTTTAAGGAACTTCTTTCTAGACTACTTTCTTTTCAAGTTTCATTCAAGAAACAATTGCCAGCCATGCAGTGCGTGAGTAGCTTAAGAAAGTTTGAAATGGAAGAAGTAAAGAGTAATATAGTGATCTATCTATTGATAAAAAAGATAAAGAGCTAAAAGGATTTGAACTTTTTAACCCATTTTAGCATAGTGTCTCTGTCTTGAATAACATGTCAACTTCTTATTATAAAAAAATTTAAGGAAGCAACTCCTATCTAGAAAAGGATGAAAGTAATGGAGATTGTTTTACACAAAAAGAATTTTGTAACACATATAAAATCTGTTTAGTAAATAACTTAAAATATAGATGAAAATGTTCCTCGAAGCTAAAATAGCTTGAGAAGTTCGGGGAATTATTTTCAGAATGTTGATAAATGGGAAATTGCATTCATCTGTTTTTTGCTCTTTTCCCAAATGCATGCAAATAAAAAGTTAATTTTTCTGTGAGAGTGATTTTTAAACCACAAGCAGATTTTTTCAGGCTTTTCTCTATAGCAGCCAATTTTGTATGAAGCAAATTACTTTCAGCCTAATTGCAGTGCGAGTCGTTAGGTTGCTGGCTCTGGTAAGGTTGGATTTCATTTGAACTTTCTAATAGTATGATCTTTTTTTCAGAATGTAATAACTGACTCAAATATTTAATACGGGAAGCTTTTATTAAATTAAAAAGAAATCAGGATATATTTTTAGAAGAACTAACTTATTTTCTTTATCAGTTTTATCTACTTTAGGGGAAAAGAGAGTGGACCCAATCCCCTTCTATACTTAAATAGACATTAATGTTGGAAACAGCCCATAATTTATTTCAGTATGTACCATTGTTAAAAAGGTTTGGGAAACATCAAATGGTAGTAATAACTATACTTCTAGGCCTACTGAGTAGCAAATTACACTGCATGTTTGAACTTCTTCATTAGTCTTGTGCATAATTATTCTCTAATACTCTGTATATTTCCTAGATCAGCTTTTAGATTACCCACTGTCCACTTCTATATTGTCTAACAGATTCTTTTAAAAGCTATGGCTTATTTTAAAGTACAAGTAGAGAAAGATGAGGGTTGAAACATTTTGAGCATGCTTGCCATCCTATATGGAGATGCCCAAAGCAGTAAGTGGATTCACTTACAAGCATTCTTAGAAACAGAATGTTTTTACATGAAAGCATGTTATAAATAAACCTTTTATTTTAATTAAAGCACATTGTGCCACATATTCTCTTCTCCCCAGGGTTCTTTTGACCTCTCACCTCTTATTTTTGTCCACAGGCACTCCACTGCTGGTGAGGAGAAGCAGTGACCCAGCACCAGGGCCACCTGCTGATGCCCAGCCAAGCACTGCAAGCCCCAGTAGCCAGAGTTTGAAACCTGTTGTTCAAGTAAGTATCCTACCATTTGCTTTTCTGTGAAGGAACAAAGGGCCTTACCACAAGCTCCAAAGAGTTGATAATGAGATAGAGGTTTTTTGATAAAATACAAAGTCAAAATTATAAAATTAGATAGCAGAATCTATTACTAGTATGTGGATATTAATGATATCCATTACTTACATAGTTCTGATTACATGCCAGGCACTGTTTTAAGTGTGTTACATTGTCATTTAAACTTTTACATATAGGTAAGAACAAAATTTTTTTGTAAATTTTTTATTGATTTTTTTTTGTTCATTTCATACAGAACATCTCAATCATTTTTATACCCCTTTTTCCATTGGCACCATCCCATACCCTTCACACTGGAATTCATACATTTTGTCATTTGTGTCAAGGCCTATGATGTCAAGTTAATGTCTGCAGACATCCCTCAGTGCAAGTTCATCCACTGAGGTCCAGTCAGCCCATCTAGCGTCCCTCCCTTTAGGAAGATCAGCCTTCCTCACCCAGCAGTAATCAGCTGCCAATAATTCTCCCACTAAAATTGGGGCCTGCTGCCCATTTCCACAGTTCTGTGCTGGGTTTTTGTCTGCTTGAGTTTCTAAGGGTCTTGTGCATGCCGACACCATTGCTGTAGGTTCATAGGAGTAAGGTCCCAGGAGCCTGTAGGACTCTATTTGCATATGGTCATGCACCTCCTCCCTGGCACTTACAATCTTTCAGCCCCCTCTTCTTCACTAGTCCCTGAGCCCTGAGTGGGTGGAATTTAATATAGGAATCTTGCCCAAGGACCCACACTCTGCAGATTCTTATTCTATATGCTTTGGTCATTTGTGACCTATTGTGTTCCTGGTCCTCTGTTACGTGAGGGAGTTTCACTCATGAGAACTTAGAGAAGAACAAGTTTTTAATCTCCATTTTCCTAATGAAAATTTAAAGAAGGGGAAACTTTAGTCCTTTATTCAAGGTCACATAGCTAGGATATGATAGAGCCAGAAATTGAACTCAAGTGATGTGGCACTAAAGACCCTCCCAGAACCAGCATACTACCTTTCGGCATGCCCTTTGCCCTCCTGCTTCAAAAGGCCCAAAAACAGAGTTTGTATATTTTCAATGAGTTAGCACAATGTTTTGTGAAATCATACCACAGTCAATGATGATACAGTTTTGAGCTCTCACTCTCATGGCTATATGATGCCAGTATTGGATTTCTAGAACTTAGCATTGAAATTGGAGAAAAAATATATATATAAGGAAAAATGTTTCTAAGCCAACATACTTATAACTGCTGTATTTATAACTGATATGTTACGTGAAAAATGATTCCCAAAAAAAATATGGTATCTTCCATCCGTATAAACTGTAGGGTCTTGTTCTTTAAATCCTCAGATACTTGGACGAGCTGTAATGGTTGTTCATCCATCTGAATAGCCTGAGTGACAAACTATGGTTAATGACCATACATGTCATTGCAGTGAATAATCTCCAGTAATGTAACCAAGTTAAAAAAAAAAAATCTCCTGAAAGCCTATCTCTTTCTCATTTCATCTCACTATTTAGAGCACTTTAAGGATGAGTTAAACAGACGCTTATGATTTGGTATAATTTTGTTTTTAAGATGTGTGCCACAGTGTAAAAGGTAGAAGTTTCCATACTAAATTATTAAATATTTAACATAGATTAATATTTGCCCAGTATTTTTTGAACATTACTTCCTTATATGACGAAGTGTCTTGAAAGCATTTTAGATGTAATCTTATGTCTGACCCTTTTTAAAACTCTGTCCTGGGGGCTGGAGAGATGGCTCAGTGGTTAAGAGCACTGGCTATTCTTGCAGGAGACCTAGTGGGTTTGAATCCCAGCATCCACATGTCGGCTAACAACTGTCTATAATTCCAGTTCCAAGATATTCAATGCCCTCTTCTGGCCTCTGTGGGCACTGCATTAGCATAAACACACACACACACCCCACAGCTTAAAATAAAATGAACTATTAAAAGAAAACTTTGTCATTTTAAGGAACTATATTTTATACAACATTAATAAAAATCAGGTGTGTTTGGTCTACTTTAATGATGAATACAGACAAAGTCAGTGTTTTGGTGTGATATGGTATTTTTTGTTGGTTGGTTTGAATTTATTTTATTTTAAACATGCATTGATTAAGACCAGATTAAGTCTAAACATTGGATTGAGAGAAGGGAAGTATATAAAGGTGAGAAAATTTATATAAACAAGAATAAGTACAATTTAATGCATATTTTATGATGTCTATATATCCTAAGTGAGTCTGTCTGGTTAATTTGTTACCACTGTTTGCGTGCAGAAAAATCCATGCACATATATTTTTATATTTCTATCATGTACTTTCTATGCTTAGAACAATTTAAATAACATAAATATTGTTTTCTTTTAGAGGAACTTAGGGCTCCTTTCTTTCTGATAGATTTTATAACCTCATTCAAGGACATCAGTGAGTTCTGACTTGGGGTGTATGGGTGGGTGATATATTGTTACTAGCAGAGAAGCATACTCTACATCAAGAAGAAATACTAGCACCCATAATGCTTGTACCTCCACTTATGCAAATTGCCAAGTATGGGTCAAGTGCCTGTGTATCAAGAGTAAAAAGGAAGGGCTGGAGAGATGGCTCAGCAGTTAAGAGCACTGGCTGCTCTTGCAGGGGATCCAGGTTCAATTCCCAGAACCCACATGATGGCTAACAACTATCTGTAACTCCAATTCCAGGGATCCAATGCCCTCTTCTGACCTCCATGGGCATTGTAGGTCTTGGGAGCACTTACACACACTCAGGCATATACTCACACACATAAAATAAAAATATTAAATAAAAATTTTTTTAAAGAGTGGAAAGGAAAATACATTTCCTTTTTTCCTCACAATGGGCTGTGTGCATGATGAAGCACAGACTGAGCTCCAAGAATAGAGTTTAGTATTTGCCTTGTCACAGGATAGAAGCACTCTCAGACTTTTCTTGCTTCAGTTATAAAATCACCCCTTTGAATCCTTAGCATTCCAAGGTGCAGACATTGTACCTTCTCTCTGTCTAGAGCAAAGTACATGGAAGGTGTTTAGCCTATGTGATTTGGATTTAAGAATGCTAGACACATTTAAATCTTGGGCAAATTAGAATCTCTGAGCAATTAACCAGTTTTAATTAATAGTCAACCTAATTCAGCCTGTTACCCCCAAGAATCTACCAGGTAAGTGCTTTTATGATATGCTCCACCTAAAGCGAGAAAAAAATACACAACAGCCCTCTCATGAGAATTGTAGGCAAAGTTAGCAAAGATTCTTGGGAATGCCCACTTTTTTAGAAGAAAGATACATTTTGGCCGGCTGTCTGTATATTTTACTTTTACTCATATTTCTGCAAATCTAGACTTGGGAATTATTCAGATTTATAAAATACAAAAAAAGTAAAAAGTCTCATTAAGTAGCTTTTATGTTAACTGTGCTCAAATGATAATACATTCGGTATCTTGGGGTGAATAAAATATATGATTAAAATAATTTTTATAATTTCTTTTTCTAGCAATCACTAGTATAAAATTGTAAATTATATTTGTAGTTCTTATTGCATTTCTATTGTGCAGTGTACCTCTAGACAGAGGTAAATGGGGTATGAATTAAAGGGTTTGAGACCCTGGAAGGAAAAATTTTGAGCTCCATGTCATCTCGAGTGGCAGCATGATTAGGCATAGTTCCAGCTTATTCCTAAAATGCTGAGTCATCACTAACTCTCAGAGAGATTCAGGTATAGGTGAAAATCATGTGGCATGCTACCTATAACCCTGTTGTTCTTGGTGTTCACCGAGTTGAGGAGAGAGAAGTAGAATTCCAGGTTAGCTTGGGAAAGCAACCACCACAAATCTCACCTGAGAGCAAACAGTTGAAAGGCTTTTGTTTGTCAAGGACAAGATGAGGCCCAGGGAGTATGAATTAGAGATGTAGGCTTCTTTTCCCTATTTCAGATACCATAATTCATGCTATACCTGTACTCACTTGATTCCTCTAGCTGATAAGTGATGTTAACAATGGGGATGTGTAATAATGTGACCCTGTAGCAAGCAACATGAAAAAAATAATTACTTTAAAAAACTGTGTTCCCTTACTTCTCTGTCCAATATCCAAAGGGACAAAAACAATTGGAAATTCCATCTCCCAAATAGTGTTCACGTATAAGTAATTCACAGAAAGCAGGACCCCAAGTGGGTTATACTCAATCATTCCCAAGAAATGAAAGTTACTCATAACCCACAGCATAAGAATTTGAAGAATGAATACTTGACACATTTTGATTATGTTGAAATATTGCCCTTAAAGTCACAGTTGATGACTGTTATTTTTAGCTGTACTTCATTGGTCTTACCACAGCTAGAAGATGTTTCATGGACACCTAGAGATGTGTGTTTTTCAAAAGTTAGAAAAGTTGCACTTTTCTGGCTGATTAAATTATTATAAATTGGTTATTTCAGATGTATACTCAGGAACATGCTAGAATTTTTTAAATGGACCTAAATTAGAAGAAACAGATTTCTTGCAAGCTTCAAATTCTTTATATGCTGAAAACCCACCAAATTTCAGATTTTGTTACTTAAAGTATCATCAGATAAACAGCATGGAAATGTGTTTCTTTTCTTCTTATCATATCAGAATGGCATAGCTATTAATGTGCAAATAGCAATAGCTATTCATCTTCCAAGACAATAGAAAATCTCATTCTGTTGACTGCTGTTGAACTAAAGGAAGAGAATCCTAGGGACAGGATATTGTAGTGAGTTTGCTTATGAGAAGTCTTACCTTCCTTTCCTTGATTGTAACCTGGTGTTCTTGGCTTAAGGGCATGCCGTAAAACCAAGTCCTTGAACCATAAAACCAAGTCCTTGAAACTGATGTTTCCAAATATGAAGAGAACTCTAAAACACATGTGATATTTTCCCCTTAATATCCGGTTAACTAATATGGTTGTTTGTGTTTTAATG